CGATTTACGGGTATGTTGTTTTTCTTTTACATTTTTATTACAAAAGTTGCCGATCGTACATTTCTTATCTATGCAATTTAGGCGGGATACTTTTTCTTCTATAAATTTGTGAAGATTTTAAATGAAAAAAGCAATAATTATTTTTTGTTGTGGTGGTTTAACAAGTGATCAAATGATAAATTCCATTTTTTAGATGCATTGTCATCTTCATCGTTGTTATCATCATCGTGTATCATTTTCCATCATACACAGCCGTCATCATCAACTTTTATCATCGGTTCATTTTTTTACGCCACCATTCCTTAAAATCATCACCATCGTCATCATAATCGCCATTTTGATATCATTATAATTAATTATATCATCATCATACTTTTGTTATCGTTAAAGTTATTTTTAATGACATCATCATCACCATCATCATCGCCAAGATGATCATCATTATCTCCACCAACATTATCATCATCATAATCATCACCAACATCATCATCAATCATCACCACCAACATTATCATCATCATAATCATCACCAACATCATCATAATTATCATCATCGTCCTCATCATCATCGTCATCATCATCACAGTTTTCGTCATCGTTTGAATTCAAAATTAGAAATTCAAAAAATTTTGCGAGTCATTTGAAAAAGTCATTTTCGTTAAAAACATCGTCATCATCATCCTTGTTATTACGGTCATCATCATCGTCGTCGCCATCATAATCATCATCATCACTTTGCTGTCATCACCATAGTCGTCGTTGTCATCATCAACATCGAACCATCATCATCATAATTGCTATGACTAACAACATCATCATTTCGAGAACACCATTCCACCCATATTTTTTCACCAATTCTTCCAGGCACCATCATTATCATCATCTTAACCATCCTGTTCATCATCATCATCTTCATCATCATCCTCATCGTCATCATCATGATAGCGCGCACATCTTTAATAAATTTTAAACGCTATCAGCATTGGCGTACTCTTAAATCAATTTTATTTATGTTATTATGAACATCATTTATTATTATCGTTATTATTATTATTATGGCTCACCATTGATTTTTAACCTCTGTTTCAATCCTCTAATGAAAATGCTAGAAGCAAAACAATATCAACAATGCGGATACATATGGGGACCAACAGCTAATCTAAAATCCAGAGGTTGGTTTCAGTTTGCCGACGATTCGGCAATCATTGCTAACAGTTCCGAGAGTGCCCAGAGACTGATCAATCTCAGCCAAGCATGGTGCAAATGGACGGGTATGAAGCTGAGAACTGAGATTTGGGATGAGAAAGCTGGACGGAAAGTATGAGCAGTTTTTGCCTCAATTAACAATAGATGATGAAATAATTCCCCGGGTGAATATTAACGAAGGTTTTACGTACTTAGGAATAATGTACGATTTTGAAGGCAAAGATACCAGAGAGAAAGACAAACTGCACAATAAGCTCAAGGTTATGCTGAGGAAAATTGGTGGACTGGATATAACTGTTTAATGGAAGCTGGAAATTCTTAGACGTTTTGTCCCTACTCAAATCTCATTTGAACTACGCACCTACAATATTTCGCTAACCTGGATAGAAAACACACTGGACCGTCTTGTGACAGAAACAGTAAGAGAATGGCTATTACTGCCCATAAGCTGTTGCATTGCCGAAGTTAGCTCGCTGCCGTATAAAACTGGTGGCCTCAACATAAAATCGTTGAAACAGCACGCCGAGATGTTACGTCTAAAACTCCGTGGTTATCTCAAATTGAATAGTAATGAAGAAATGAGATCATTGTGGAGTGAATCTCACAACAATTATGGAAAGATTGACAACCTGATCCTGGGAAATGTTGAATTAAAACCAGCAATGAATGCTCTAAAACAGAAACATTATGAAACGAACTTTAATCATCTATCGCTGCTGCAATGCCAAGGTACCCTTGTGAAATCAATAAAAGAGTACATCAATAGCTCCGAGATAACGCGATGGTCCAGGTCGACTGTAAAGCTATCAGAGGTCCTCTATAAATCCACCAGAAAATACCTTATTCAACAGCTACCATCAAACGCCAACCTCTTCAGATGGGGCAAAACTACAAATGCATCATGTTTGCTCTGCAATGCAACACAAACGAACAAACACGTCATGTCAAACTGTGGCTCATCATCTGCATTGAGCAGATACTTAGATCGCCACAACAAAATTTTAAAAATAATTATCGATAATTTCATGGTAGACACGAGGCCGGGTGTCGAGATTTTTGCGGATTTGAAAGGGGAAAAGACACGACCAATAACAGACTTGTTCAGATCACTCCGTCCTGACATTGCTGTCCGCAACAAAGACACGATCGAGATACTTGAACTGACTGTCTGCCATGAAACTAACTTCATAAAATCAAAACAATTTAAAATGAAAAAATATATTGGTAATTTGAAAGATAATATTATTGATGACTTTAAGCATTGCAATATTTTAATTAATACCTTTGAAATATTGCCAATTGGCTTTTACAATCCTTTTAATATGTCTTTAATTGATATAACTTGGACCGATTATTTTAGATTTAGCTTGATTAACAGTGTAATTTCGTCATCATATGCCCTGTACTGTGATAGAAACAATGAGTGAAGTTTTTTATACTATTTATCATCATGGTACTTACTTATTTCCATAAGATGACGAGCAATGATGACTATCCGTATTACTCTAACACTTTATCTTTATTCTATTTTATTTTATTCATCTAACTGTATATTTAACTATATTCAATTTTATTTCATTGTCAATATTTTGATTTTACTTATGCTCTGTCTTTGGAAAATAAAAGAGTTCACATTTTATTATTATATTATTATTATTATTATTACTACTACTACTACTACTTCCATATAGCTACGTTTCTGGCATGCCATCTCGAGCAACAAACTTGCATGGATTTCTTGAAATTTAATAAGTAGCAGCAAATCCATAACAGCAAGTGGGTTGAGTTGGAAAAATTGGAAAAGTTACGCAACGTACGTGTTAACAAACGTCTACATACCTTCCTACTTTACTTCCAACACCACTGCCAACATCTTTTTCTTCTTCCTTTCCAACATATTTACCAGATAACTTCACGAAGAATGATTCAACGTAAAAACGCCTTTGTGTTTACAACCTTCTCCTCATCTTTATGTAATATGTCCTGTCCGAAAACATACATGAAATTAAACATACACACACGCTAAAGATACACTTACGTACAAGCACGCAAACAAAGATAAGCGTATTTTTACAGAGACAAGCGTACTAACGATGAATGTATGCAAGTTAGTACCAGCGGAGAGAGAGAGAGAGAGAGAGAGTGGCATACACTTCAGTGCACGCCGGTGCGTACAACCCACATGTCAATTTATGTTCCGAGTTATGTTGAGTTGGCAATTGATTTAGCAGCGCAATAATCTTCATTTCTATGTTCATTTTTATTTATCTACATCTTTCTTCACCGATTTCCTTCCGCTTCTTCTTTTTTAACTCACTCACACACTCATTCGCTGCTCAACTTTGTTCATTTAGTTCAGATGTTTGTTAGCTCGGCCATTATTTCTCTTCTTTTTATGCAGTGATTTTTTTCTCCTACAAACTTTTTGCAGACTTTCAAAAACTTCTACATTAGCTGTTTGTAGGAAAAGTGTGTTTATGTGTGTGTTTGTTTGTTTGTTTGTGTGTGTGTGTGTGGTATGCCTATCTATATGTTAGTGGTGCGTGGGTGTGTGTTGTGTGTATGTGTGTGTAATATAAATTAGCACTTAAATTATTCATGATATCTCGACAGACAAAAATTTATTTCATATAAGATGCATGTTCATTTGGTTTTTTTAATGCGTGCAAGTAAAAATAGAACTGAATGGATACCATTTTGTAATACTTACATATGAATCTAGATTTAAAATTTTAAATTATCAAATAATACAAATACAAATATGTACATTCATATACAAACACTCCTCTGCATTTTGTGTAGGAAAAGTACTGCGTACACGCACGTACGTATACACACGTAAGTGTACATCAAATCATCAATAACGAATGGTACGTACGCATTAGAGTAAACATGTACCAACAATTTTTAAATTAATAAATTCAATAAATAATTCAGTACGTGGATGTTGTTTTGGCGTGAAAATGTTTTATATTTTTTCTTATTTTCATCGTCCTATAATTTCAGGATGGTGAGAGAAAAAAAAACAATTGTTTATTTTTATTCAAGACCGGCAAAAATGTTCTTATTCACGTTAGAAATTTATTTCGGTGAGCAAAGAAATTCGAACCAACGACTCGTTCTAACTGTTTCGCCGGCGATAATTATGCAAATATTGATATTACGTCAACAGAACTTTTCGCGGTGGTTTTGCTAAAAAGAAAATGGAAGCAGAAGAAAAATTGTTGACGATGTAACAATTGTGTTTTCTCTCTTTTTTTCTCTCTCTCTCTCTTTCTTTCTCTTTCTTTTTCTCTCTCTCTCTCTCTCTCTCTCTCTCTCTGTGTGTGTGTGGTGTGTTTAGCTCAAACCCACACGCACAAACCCACACGCACAAACCCACACGCACAAACCCACACGCACCAACTTTCATTCAATTTTCATTCGGACTCTTTTAAATTTGTGAAAAATTTTTCTTTGAAAATGTGACGCTAGGTCTGTTTTTCAGAACAAGCAGTAGGTAATTTTTTTTTATGTATTTCATTGCAGGCTTACATTTTTAACTTTTTTTCTAACAAAACATGAGAACTTGACAGAAATACATGTTTTTAACAAAAAAATAGATATACAATTATTAATTTTTCAAGAAAAAGTATTTCTTAAAAGTTTGTAGGCAAAATTATTACACAGGTACTATATCTATTTTTTCCAAACGACTGCGCTTGTACAAAAAATAAATTAAACTGGTAAATGTTCACAATAATTCACGTTAATTATTTTTTGTTTTCTTGTTGCAAAGAGCTTCCAGACACGATCTATTTAAATGGAATAATGGCAACGGGCATTTTTTGGATTTTCCCCAAAACCTAATGGGTTAATTTGTTGTTGTTGCATTGTTATGTGTTAAAGGTTTTAAGTTTTATGGTGTCAAAAGTGTTGTTGCATGTCAAGAGTGTTTTGTGCTGTGAAACCATGCTGATACGATGGATGTTGGCAGGAAGGCATTTGAAAGTTGCAACAAAGTCGAAATAAAAATTAATGAAAATGTTTTCAAATGTCAGCAGAAATCTCCAACTACTAATCAATTTGTTTTGTTTTTCTTTTACAGACACTTCACGGTTAACATTTAACGTTGCAGTTGTCTCGAACGCTTGGCATTAACATCACAACGAACCTGATCACGCCTGCCACAACTGGCCACAACTAATTTTATACACGTACAGATACTTCTACCACACATCCACCACACCAAACCATCCACCAATCCATCTCTCTAATTAGTTGAAATATGAACTCTCTTCATTGGCTGAACGACTTAATTGATAAATATTTTCTTTAATTTCATTGGTCCGAAGCCTCGGTTAATTTCGCTTAAACCTTAAAAACTTTTCAAAGGTGTTTAATTTACTATTTAAACATTTTTTGACATTTAAAAAAAAACTCAAAGTTAATCAGTTTTTTACACATTACATTTTGTTTACTTTGTCCAATTGCTCACATAAATCTCAAAAACCGGCTGTAAAACAAATTAAATGATTTTTTAAAAACAAAAATAAAATTTGTATAATTGATTGACGAATGACTAACTGAAGTAGCAGCTTGCTTCTTCCTTGATTCACAAACAAACGCGTCACCTCCTTCCAGCGTTTCATTTCCTTCGCTATACTCTCTCGATTGAAAATAATGAGCTTGTCTAGTGCTTAAATTGGCATTTTTATTCCAACTGTTAAACTGCGTCAAGTCCTCGTCCTCTGAAATGATATCATCTTCCTCATCACCATGATCCTCATCATCCGGTTTACTTACTCTTACGTCATCATATCCTCCAGTCCCACTCTGATCGATCGATTGAGTTTTTGTGAAGGATTTATTGAGGACGCCACTTTTGGAGTCATCAGCTTCAGCTGCATGGACCGCTGTCGGCTTCCTCTTAAATGTCAAGGCTATCAACACCCTACCGACAGCTTTTTTCAATCTATCTTCCGTTTTTTTGCCGCCCTTTTTCTTGAGTTTTGATTGGTTGTTTAAATTATCAGCCGATGACGTGGGATATGTTTGCAATTTTTGTGCAGATGATGGAAATTTTTGTGAAGTTTGTTGTGATTTGACGGCTATTGAGCTTGATGGTGCAACCTGAGACATTGTTGTTGCTGCTACTACTGCTGCTGTTACTGCTGTTGTTACTATTGTTGTCGAGACTGCCGATGCTGATGTTGTTGTTGTTAATGTAAAATGTTTAGTTGAACTTCTGGTTGGTGAAGTTTTGTATGGAGGGTCATTGGTTTTTAATGTGCAATCATGAATGTTCATTGCTTTTATATCCTCATTGCTATCATATTCTGAAATTATTAATATTGGATTGCCGACAATAATGTTTGACGGTAATATCTGTGTATTTTGTTGTTGATGTTGTTGTTGTTGTTGTTGCTGCTGTTGATGTTTTTGTAGAAATTGTTGTTGTTGCTGCTGCTGTACCTGATGTTGTTGATGTCGCAAGCGATGTGACTGCTGCTGCTGCTTACTCAGCTGGTTGATGCAGTCAGCAAAATTGTCACCGTCATTATCTTCTCTCATTTTCAAACTACTACTACTACGACCTCCGCTTGTATCATCATTATCATCATCACCATCCGAATTTTCTTCATCATCGTCATCGTTTGTCACATTTCTTTCTTTAATGGTGTTCAGTGGAACGTTATGATTATGATTGTGGAGAATTGAAGAGGGATGATAATAACGCTGTGCTTGGCAGTAATTAGAAAAAGGGTGAATTACACTTGAGAAAATGTGTGAAGTTGTCGTTGTTGATGATGTTGTTGTTGTTGTTGATGATGATGATGTTGTTGTTGTTGTTGTTGTTGTTGTTGTTACTGTCATATCTGATATGCTGAAACTGTTGTTGCTGTTGTTGATGGTGTTTGAAGAGCTGTTGAAATTAAGTTGTTGCGAGATGGGTTTCATGTTTCGTTTCGTGCTGGTTCTTACATTTTCAGGATCAAAAAATTTTAGATGAGATAAGAAAATTTTTCCTTCTAATGGCTGGAGTTACCTTCATGATGAACACCTCCAATAAAACTGGAATTTCCAAATTTTAATTCCTGTCTTCCGCTCAAGCAGACTTTTATCGCAATCCTACAAACATCAAAGTGCCATCAAATCTATTGTGTATGTATGTGCATCGCAAGGTTATTTTTAATGTCTGAAGGAGAACTACTGGCATAAATTCATATTTTCCTTCTATTGTTGTCAGCGTCTTCTCGACTAAAAATTCTTCCAAATAATGAATGATAACAAGCATAAGGAGAAGACTTTCAATTTTTTGGCGTTAGTGTTTTTGTTGCTGCTGCTGCTGTTGCTGTAGTCGTTGCTGCTGTTGCTTTGATGGCGATGACGGTTTAAAAAAGTGTGTAGCGATTGTTTAACACTGAAATTTTGAGTGTTCTATCTTTTGACTTGTTTATGTTTTTCTTTATTTTTGACTCTATGTAAATTCATTTCGGTTCATTTTTTATCATTAAATCTTTGAAAAACAAAGATAGGTAGAAAATCGTCAGATATGAATGACAAAACTGTTTAATAAGTAATTCACAATCTAATAATTGAATAATAAGTTAGTTTGTGTTGAAATTAATCAAAAATCTTTTAAAAGAAAGGATTAAGCTAATCCTTGAATAGCAATGCTTCATCAGATGGATCAATCATCCAAAATTAGAAGTTTTTCTTTCTGCTGTTAACGCTCACATCTTGAAATAACTCCTCCTAACTGAAACATGTGCGTGAGTTTGGGTGTGTGTGTGTGTGTGTGCATGTTTATGTATGCGTGTATGTGTTTATGCATGTGCGTGTGTGTTTGTTTGTGTTCATGTATTTATGTTTGGGTATGTTTGGTTTATTGTATGTATGCGTAATATTACACATACATGCATTGTGTATGTATATATGTGTGTATGTATTTGTATATGTGTGTGCGTGCGTGCGTGCGTGATTTATGAGTGCTGATAACAAAGTAGTAACATTGACGGAACGTACGTTTGCAGGTAGGTTAATGTTCCATCTCGAAAGTTCTCAGAGCAAGCGTTTGACGATATAACCTCAAACAAGTTTCTTCTGTTCTACGTTACGTTCAAATGGTAGTTATTTATACGTCTGTCTCTTTGATTTGCTACATAGCTGGATGTTTAAATATCTTATTGTTTGTTCAAATGTGTAGGTGCTGAGGTATAATCAATAAAAAAAATAGAATAAATGATAGTTTTTGTTTTTGCTGAAACACCATATTACCAAATAGTTAAAGTTGTGCAGCTTGTTAAGCTGCTTAAATATGTTGAAATGATTAATTTTGAAAGAAAAATCCAGCTTAACCTAACACGCAAACATATTGTATAATCGAAGTATCTTCACGTTGAAATTAGTTCGTTGAATGTATGCATGCACTTGAAACTGTGATGGCATTGAAATGCTCTAAATTATTCACTCCATCTAATTTTTAATTTTGCAAAATTAATTTCCGAATAATTTTCCAAAGGCTTAATAAGAAAGAAAATATTTGATCGTTTCGAATCATTATTGAAATTAAACGTATGAATGTTGTACATCACACAATTCAACAGGTTGAGATTTCAATTTTTGATAATTTTTTTAAAAATGAAGAAAAACATTTTTATTGTAATTTATTTCAATTTAAGGAAACTTTTTTCGATAGAATTTTTACTCTGCTGCACTGAGATGCAATTATCAAAAATGGCTGATGCACTTATAAAAATTGTATGAAATATTTTTATACGCTCTAAAAGAATTTAAACATTCCACCGACCACAACAACAAAAATAACTTGCTTTTATTTCAGATAAATCCAGTCCCATTTCAAAACGAAAAGGATTTTTTTTCAGTGGGTGGTTGAGGTTTTTTACTGTTTGTCGTCATCATCTCCACCGACATTTTTATCAACATCTTCTTCTTCATCATCATCATCTTCTTCTTCATCATCATCTTCTTCATCATCATCATCTTCACCATCACATCATCGTCGTCAGTTTTACCACTATCATCTCTACCGTCATCATCTTTAGCACCATCATCTTCATTATCACCATCAAATCCTTCCTCACTTGTCAAACCACAACCGCGTTATTTCAAAAGAAATTATTTCAGTTTTCATTAGAGGAGAGACGACAGAACCTGAAAGCAGTCCCTTAATGAGAAAAGATTATTTTACAATATCCAACTACTTTCGATTATTTTTTTTCATTTATTTTTATTATGTTTATTTGTGTATATTTTCATTTTTTTGTTTATTTATTTTCAATTTCCCTGACAATATGTACCCCTGATTAAGTTTCAGATTTATAAATAGCGCCTGCATTGAATTTGGTTTCTTCACTTTCAACGGACTTGCCAGTTAAAAAATTTGCACGAAAATTTTTATAAAACTTAAAATTAATTAAACTTTAATAATTTTAAAAATTTGCCAAAATTTTGATTAGTTTGAATTTGGAATAAAAATTCGATTAACAATTTTTATGGAGAAAATTACGCAAAATGTTTAAAAGCGTAGGTTAAGTATTCTACAAAGCACTCATGCTGCCTTATTTAAAATTTACTAAATTATTTATGTATGTATATATGCACGTATGTACGTGTGTACGTACGTATGTATGTATATATGCATGGATGTATGTATGCATGAATGTGTGTTTGTTTGTGTGTGCATGTGTGTGTGTGTGTGCTGTACAGTGTAGGCAGTCTTTTGAAAGGCTTATGTAGAGTCTTGCGTGGGACTAAGTGAGGTTATTTACGTTGTATGTTCATTAATATTTTAGGCAGTGCTGAGGTTAGCAATTGTAGTAGTTAGTGGGGCGATCATTGTAGCCTGTTGAAGCGAAGGGTGGACTTGGTAGTCGTCCGAGGCACCACTTCAACAGAGTGCATTTCTCATTTACCCTCATTTGAAAAAAATACTCCAGCAAAAACTTGAGTTAGGGTTTGCGAATGACAATGCAAAATAAGATAAAATATTATAAAAATACTGTATAAATAAAATTAAAATACTGCTAATATATTATGATAAAAATGACATAATGGTTATATGATGGAAATATAAAATGATATGCAAATATTAATATGTGTAATGTACATGTAATAGAAGTAAAACTTACGGTATAAAATAGTATGTGAGTTAAAAATTTGACACCTGGAATAAAAACAAGGAAGAAATAAGTTTTTTAAAAATTGCTTTCCAACTGTAATTTATTTCGAGGATTTTCATAGGATTTTTGCTCTTTATATCTGTTGTTTTATGACAGAACGCTAAATTATTTTTGTTATTGTTATTCAGTCTATTATTTTTCTTCTTAATGTTGTTATTATTATTATTGCCATTGTTGTTGTTGTTGTCATTGTTGTTGCTGTTGTTGTTGCTGTTGTCATGGTTGTTGTTGAGAGTGGTTTTAATTTTTAAGAAAAGTCTCAATTGATTTCGTTTCAATTATTTTATTTTTCACACAAGCCGTGTTTTATTTGTTTTTAAATTCATTGTTGTGCCTACATTTTATTGAGCATGCTTTGAGATAATACTTAATTAACCAGTTCGTGTGTTCGTGTATTTGTTTGTGTGTGTCTGTGTGTGTGGTAAGTGTGTGTGTGGTATGTGTGGTATTTTCAAAAAAGTTGTCGCGGCCATTTTATAAAAAAAACTCTGCTAAAGTATTTCCCACGTAACACTTGTCAACAATTGTTGATTGAAAAAATTGAATATTTTTTTGCTTTTTGCTAGTTGTTATCATTTTAATTGTTTAAACGTTGTTGTGGTAAGTTTGTGTTGTTGGTGATGGTGCTGTGGTTGTTGTTGTGATTGTTGTTGGCGCGAGGCGTAGTTGTGATGATGACGTTGTTGTTTCGATGTTGTTGTTAATGTAGTTATTGTAGTGTGTGAATGGTATGAAGCAGGGATAGTCTCTTAGGTAAGCCAGCCAACGAGACGTGCATTGTTCAAATTTTTCTTCTACGATAAGTGGTTTTTGCTGTTGTCAAGGATTTTGTCACTCTTATGGCTATAATTGATTTTAATCCTTGTTGTTGTTGATGGTGATTGTGTTGTTGTTGTTTTTGATGTTGTTGTTGTGATTGATGTTATTATTGATGTTAGGGCTGTGGTTCATGTTGTTGTGATTGTTGTTGTTATTGCTGTTATGGTTGTTGCTGTTATTGTTGTTGTGGTTGCTGTTGTTATTGTGGTTGATGTTGTTGTTGTGGTTGTTGTTATTGTTATTAATGTTATCTTTTTAATTTTTTTCCTAAAAAAACAATGTGATTTCTCGACAAGTGAACAGTTACTGTGAAAATTGTTCTGCTAACCATTTTTTGTTAACCAATTTTTTTTCAAATTATTGCTAAATTAATTATGTTAAATTAACAGTTAAATAAAATAAAAAATTAACTCATAATCAACGTTGTCAATTAAAATGCAAAATAACATTTATTTCAACTATTTTATAAACCAAAACAAACCTCACAACTCGGTTGAACATTTGCAAGAAACTCTTTTAATCATTATTTAAATATAAACTAAAAACATTTGAATAAAATTTATTTTTTCAGACATTTTCTCAAATCAAATTTAAAAATTAAATCCAAATTGTTACAGCAAAATAAATCAACCGACTAATTAGTTAACTCTTTCTTTAAAAAAAAGTCAAAAAACCAGAAAGACAAAAAGCGATGCGACTTTTTCCCTGACAAATTCATCATCAATAATTCAAACTGCTCTGAAACAACAAAGACGCAAGTACAATATTAAATGTTCTTCTCACACACTCACGTATACAAGCACACACACACACACACACACACACACACACACACACACACACACACACACACACACATGGAAACATATAAAAATATTCACGTACAGTACACGCGATACCTCCAAAAATACCTCCCAGAATATAATAATCCTACTCTGACAATCGCCAGAAGAATGTATGGCACGCGGTCCATTGCGAAAAATAATGTACCAATGTTTGCTTATATATCCGTTTCACTGATTCACTCTGTGCCCGTGCATATTTTTATTATTTATATTTATATATTTTATTTTATTTATGTAATTATTTATATTAATATATTTATTTATTTATTCATTCGAATCAACAAAATCGTTTATAGTCGAATATGTTACACAAAGTATGTATTTGAATAGCTAGTAAATAATGAAAATATATAAATGCCAGTTTCATACTTTTTTGATATGTTGAAAAATTATTTTCGGTCTAAATTTTTTACAGTTTGGATTGGCTGTCATTGCAAATTTACACTGACACAAAATCCATTCAAACAATAAAAAACCACTTCTTTAAATTTTCTATTGAATTTGAATTTGTTGCAATTTTCAAAACAAATCAATCAAAATAGATGATTACAATTGCAGTAAAGTATTTAACAAGAATGTTGGTCCGTGTCAATGAACGTATGTTTCAATGTTTTCCATCTGCTGATCATAATGTTTTGAACGTATCATCTCCATCGTCATCATCACTATCACATCATCATCGTCGTCGTCATCGTCATCATCACATCATCATCATCATCACATTGTAATAGCTCACCACTAACAACCACCCCATTTCACAGACCCATCAACAGTGATGTCCTCTTGTTACCTCACTCACAATCATGTAGAGATATATGTTTAACGAATTGTTTAATATTTATATACATCGTCGCCATTATTCACATTCTCGTCCTCATCACAACATTGTCACAACATTATTACGTATATTATTCAATTATTCATTCTTCATATTTCTATCTACTTATCTATCTTTTTCAACATTTATTTTACACACAACTATACTAGCAATCGTAGTATAAGAATTGCTGAAACGCGCAATTTTATACCACCCACGCAACTCCACATACGTTTTGATAAATCTACACGCACGCAAGCACGCACGCAAACATGCACAAACACACACGCGCGCAAACAAACACACATACGTAAACAAACTCACTCACAAGCGGAAACACATACACTCAAACGCAAACAAACACGTACACACACTGTGACACATCGTAAAATCAATGCGTGCAGTCAGACGGACATCATATCACTAAAGCAAATTACGAAATTATGGAAAAGCAAAACGGCATAAATTTCCACTGGCGTTCCATAATTCACACGGGGCCGCGTTCGGTTTTCCGCGCTAGTGAACAATTTAAATTGCCGAATGACATCAACCTAAACTCGAAGTAAATGAATCAAATATAAAAAAATACTTTCCTTACAATGAAAAAAATGTTCTTCGATGATTCAAATACAGTATAGAAATAATAAAATAAAGTTTATGATGTTAACAAATCGTCAAGTTTCATCTTAGCAGCCACTATCATCTCAAGTGATGGAGCATTTTTTAATATCTGGAATAAATCTGCGCGGAGAGAGAGAGAGGAAAGAGAGGAGAGAGAGAGAGGAGGGAGAGGAGAGAGAGAGATTTGTATTAATGATGGTGGATGCCTGCCCTGGAAGTGTTTTTGTCATTTTTTCATCCACATTAGCGTGAACAAATGAAAATTTTAATCAACGTTGAAATTATTTATTTACTGCGTTTACACGTGATTTACGGTTTTACTGTAGGATCAATAATGATTATAAATTCATCTCCTTTTCTCTCTTTCCTTCTCTCTCTCTCTCTCTTCCTCTCTTTCTATATATATCTATATATATAAAAACATTAATGGGAAGATTAGTTTCTAAGAAAGTTCATACAATAAATTCCGACAACCCTTACGTACTTAGTTTTCGCAGCGTATTTTTTTAGTTTGATTGAAATAGTCTAACAGCATGATCACTGCCTACCTGCCTACCTATCTAACTACCTCAATACCTACCTACCTACCTACCTACCTACCTACCTACCTACCTACCTACCTACCTACCTACCTACCTACCTACCTACCTACCTACCTACCTACCTACCTACCTACCTACCTACCTACCTACCTACCTACCTACCTACCTACCTACCTACCTACCTACCTACCTACCTACCTACCTACCTACCTACCTACCTACCTACCTACCTACCCAACTACCTCAATACCTACCTACCTCAATACCTACGTTGTACTTAAATACCTAGCCGCAAAACACATTTGCCCCGTGCTTGTTAAAATTTATGCCAAGCTGAAAAGAGGTGATTAAGAAACGAGTCGGTTGATGAAGCCAACTACAGGAGAGGAATTTTTCTGCACGCACATTCGAACATACATACAAATATACAAACACACATATAAACATACAAACGAACATATACACATACAAACACATACACATGTATGTATGTATGCGTTTTTATTTTTGTATGTCTTTACACGGTTAGTAAGCATCGAGAGCATTCGGATTCTTGTGCCGATTCGCATAGATGTATATATGTATTTCTATTTTATTATGTATGGGTATGTACGATCACGTGTATATGTGTTATGTATACATCTCTACAAGTTTACATATTCAATATTTTTCTCACTGTTTGCAAACATTTTGACATTTTTTTTTATCTAGGTGTAAAGAAAGAGGATACGTGTGTGAGAGTTGTGTGCGTGTCTGTCTGAGTGTGTGCGTGTGCGGCGCGTGTTTTACGCATTGCGTGTGTTTAAACGTGCACTCATACATGAATAAATTTTGAAGGTGTGTTTATGTAGGTTCATGTATTTTCGAAGATTCACGAACTCAATAATGAGTCTAATAAATGCAATTTAAATTTTATATTGTAAGCAAACAATGCAAATAAAGGAAAATAATGGAACAAGTGGGCCGAAATTCCGATTAACCAATTAAAATGAAACATTTCCAGCTAAAAATAATAATCAAAAATATTTTCCTATTTTTAAAAGTAACTTTAATCTGTGAGAGGACAATGAATCAAAATAAGAACGAAAGTTTTTATGATTTTTTTATGGACAAGACATAGTAATAATAACAATAATAATAATAATGCCAATAATAATAATAATAATAATTAATAATAATAATACCCCTAATCATTAGCATAATAATCACCTAGTAGAAACCGTGCGACAAATCACCATCAATGAATATTTTTCCATAATATTTATTTTTGAACGGGCGTCCTTTCATTATTGAAAAGTATGATGAATCCTTAGAAGGCTCGTTCCCGCAATTAAGCAAGCACGTTGTGTGCCGTGCAGTCAAAGAATATGAAATAAGAGAAGCAATGTTGTCAAAAAATAAAAACAACCAGACGTGAATTAGCACAACTTGAAACCAAAATTGAAAATACTCTTCTTTATACAAACTCGAGCCTCGTCTGCTCCATCTCAATTAATGTTCTGGCGGTTATGAGGATGGAAAAAATCATTATTTATCCAATCGAAATCATTCTAAACTAACAATAAAAATGAATATTTGGATTGAATTGTTAAAACTTTTTTTAGGGGGAAAAACCAATTAAAATTCAATGATGTGTGAATAAGGTAAAACAGGGTTGGAATGTAGCGGCCAGATGTTCCTCTACAGGCTTCATATTTATAATAAAAGCTGCTTTAAACACATGTTCCCCATGTTTTAGTCTTCTATAAATTCTTTATAATGCAATGTGCTTATGCTTTTTGCTCTCTCTCTCTCTCTCTCTCTCTCTTTCTCTCTCTCTCTCTCTCTCTCTCTCTCTCTCTCTCTCTCTCTCTCTCTCTCTCTCTTTCTCCCCCCCTCTCTCTCACCTCCGTTTCTCGATAGAGATACAATAATATAAAAATGAAGGTGCTATTTTTACGTCAATTTTGAAAATCCAATGTTCATTATCCGCCAATCATTTTCAAACTTTGAAAAATTACTGATAAGCATCAGTCATAGGTCAGCAAAATAAACATCAGCCCCTTCTCAATAAACATCATCGTCCTAGTTATCGTCACCATCATTGTCATCATCATCATCATCGTCACCATAATCATCATCGTTGTCATCATCATCATCATCAGAGTTATCTTCAGCAAAGCGAAATTTGTATAACCGTCGTCATCATCATCGTCACAATCATCATCATCATCATCCTCACAATCATTCTAGTCACCACCATATTTATCAAGGACAGAGTTACGATGAAAAATTTATAATCATTTTAATAACGGACAGAAACATAACAAATAATAATAACTTCAATAAAAAAACAAATTAATGATAAAAACAAAAAATAATCTAACCTTGGTGGTCGACGACCTTAGAAGCATCTGCCTCCTGACCGTGGCTGGTGGGCCACCTGGCGAGTTAAATGAACACTTTTATATTAATTTTTAGTAATTATTTATTAATTTAATAATAACGAAATTTTACACATCAGACATTATTTTCACAAATCTATTTTTACAGCATTTAAGAATTTTTTCAAAAACAAGCAACAACAGCAATTTCTCAAAAACTAACAAACACCCCAAAAGTTGAAAAAAAATAACCGGCAAAATTTTCAGCAAACCACTCCGTAATTTTCGAATCAATGATTCCTTTTGCCAAACCAGAGGCCACACTCTGGACCGCTCCACCACCACCCGACTTGCCAAAGTTTCGAAGCTTCCGGCAGATGTCCTTCCTAAAAAATTCATCGTATTCGTTGTCCTCGCTTCTCGACAGAAGATTTGGAAAGCGAAATATTGAAGTCGGAGAGTGAGATTGTAGCGGGTGATGTTTCGTGGACTTCTTCGATTTCTCCGTTTGCTCGGTAGGTGAGTTTTTACTACTGCTATCCAGTGATGATGGTAACGATTTTTCTGACGCTCTGGCGAATGAAAAAGGATTTTTTAATAATAATTGTCATTTTATTAATATTTGAAATTTTATCATTTATTATGATTAATGATTTTGACAACTTTTGCAATTATTCGAAAATAAAATTAAAATTCACACGTGGGTGTGTATATAAAACACTATTTTTTTGCAGGAACGATGATTATAAACGTGTGCCTGTAAACATCGAATGCTGTGGTGAATGAATAGACTTCGTGGCGTGATTTATAACGTTGATGCATTGGAGGAGGTGATGTCGAAGATCATAAAAGATTCTGTTGCAACAAAATGAACATTTGAACAGTTGAATATGAAGACCCCGGTGGCAAAGATGATGATAGATAATTAATGATGATCTAGAATTTATGATAACCTATTTATCAATCTGATGATGATGATTTATGATAATCTGTCAGATGATGATAATTTGTGATTATCTATCTGATGATGATAGTTTATGATTATCTGGATTTCAGTTAATGTCGTTAAAACAAAGTAGTAATGATGACGATGACGACGACGATGATGATGTTGTTGGAAAAAGAGATGATGAAGTAATAATAATTATAACGATAATTACGAAAGGTTACAATGACGACGACGACAATGATTCTTGCCGTTGCTGCTGCTGTTGCTGCTGCTGCTGCAGCTGATGATGATGATGAAGATGATGATAATTAAAACGATGACTGCAAAAATAAAAGGCGGAAATAAACGGATCATTAAGGAAAAGTTGCGTCTGAAACATAAAAAGGATTGCACCGTTAAATTAATTTTATTTGCCGCTTTTTATATGGTTGTTGACTGTGTGTACGCGCGCGCGCGCGTGTGTGTTTGCTCTGCGTGCGTGTGTGTGTACGTGTGTGTGCCATTTATTTAATAATTAAATGTGAAATATTAAATATAATAGTAACAATTGAAATATATGACCATGGTTTTGGCTTGAGTATCAAACAAAATTGAATTATTTGAAATCGGTAATAAATTAATCAAATTAAAACACAGCAAAATTTCACTGTTTCTGGTATTTTTGTTAAAATTTTATATATTGATGTCATATTTATATTTGAGTTATTTTTTAAGTCAATTATTCATTCATTTTAGCTACATAATTTTTAAACTATTTATTTTTAAAATTTCTAGAATGCAATCCGTGAAACTATTTACCAAAAATGAACTTGTTTGCATAGCACTTGGCTGCTTAGTTCGTCAGAATTCTTTCAAAGTTTGCAACTGATACCCGCTCTTGACGATGTGATATTTTTACTTTAATGTTCAAAAAGATTCACATGCATGCTTTTTAAAATTCACTCCACAATATATCTCAAAGGTTTCAACAGCTTAATCACACACGTGCACGTGAAACAACGCATCCCACACACACACACACACACACACACACACACACACACACACGCACGCACGACACACACATACACACACACACACAGAGTAAGTTATAGTTGTGGTAGGATCTCTTTACATTCGAATGTATAAGCAATTATAAAAATTCCAAATTGTGTCTTTCATTTTTGAAAATTCTTGGATAGCGAATTTCGTTGAAATGACGTCATCTACGTTTCTGTCTCAATGACTCGTCAAAACAAACGAAAAAACAATCGCGTAATGACGTTAATTAATTACTCAACCAATCAGTTAATTGTTTAACGATTGGTGTTAATTAATTATTGAATAATTAAGTTCACGCGATGTGTTATCATAAAAAAATTTTCCCTTTCCATATTTTTAAATGTTCACTCGCGATTGCGTGCGCTTTTTGAAATTCCGAAAAAAGCAATTATCGCTACCTGGAAAGTTTTGAAAACACTGAAAACAATAATTATGAAACTTAAACGGATTTTAATCGTCGTTGTCATCAATTTTATCATCATCACCATCATCTCATCATCATCACCATCATCTTATCATCATCGTCGTCGTCTTCTTTTTCTTTTCTTCTTCTTCTTTCTCATTATCATCAAGCTAGCATTTTCCTCTTCACCTTATAATTACCATTATTATCATCACCAAATCGTCATCATGCAATTGTCATCATTTTATCGTCACCGTGGTTAATGTCATCATATCATCAACATCATGTTAATGTCATTATCACATCATTTTCATCAGCTTCTTCATTATCATCAAACTCTAATCATCAATGCCGTTACGAGCATTTCATCATCATCTTCTTCCTTATCTTCATCATCATCTTCCTTCTTATCATCATCATTTTCTTCTTCTTCCTTATCATCAGCTTTTTCTTCTTTCTTATCATCATCATCATAATCAGAATAAATAAATTGGAAACAACAACAATCCGTCCCTATTTTTTTGTTCATCATTCTTATAGCAGTGACGTTTCTTTAAAACACTCACACTCATTCATCATGGTGGTTTTCCCTACGAAGGCCCTATTATCATCATGGTGGGAGGCTAACCTAAGGAGGAGGGGGTGTAATTAAATGGGGCTTTGGGGCTATACCTCCCCCTAATAAAACGTTTTTTTAAATTAAGGAGACATTTTATAAAATCTCATTATGAAGTGTTGGTATAAAATGCTTCAAGCTTTCACAACGGTTATGAATAGACATATTTTATCATTTTTCATCTTAATTTTGTTATCATCGTCATTATCTTTGCTATCAGATTAATCGTTATCAACATCATCACAACCGATCATCACCGTCGTCGTC